AAGGCTACTATCCATTCACAGATGGCACTCACTACATGATACATGTACTCCTTTTCTTCGGGATTCCACTCGAGTTTGGTAATCGAAATGAGGGATGCGCAGGCAATCATAGGGATGACGGCAGTGCAGGAAATGGCGGAGATGGTCATGCGTACATGGCAGGTCTTCAAGCTGTTCCACTGGGGATACGCCTTGTAGGAGATGATGGACTGCAAGAGCGTGTACACCACGCCACAGACAAAAGCCAGTAGAGCACCCCCATCATGCACTACTGGAACCGCCAATTCCTGAAAATTAGCCACGATGCCCATCCCAATGCATCCCACCAATCCAAGGACGAAGGACACCAAGTTAAAAACAGGTGCACTGAAATAGTGACTTTCATTTTGCTTCTTCACTATTTTATATCTCGTGTACATCGTAGCCGCACCAAGAAATGCAGAGAAGTTGATCATGAATCCAAAAATACCACTTTCTGGCGGTGTTGTCCCTGTATCACTGATATAGGGAAGAAAGGGGTTGACATGCCCTGACAGCACCGCGACCAAGTAAGAGATGATAAAGGCAGCGGAAGACCAGCTCACCAGGAGGAAGGGGACAAAAGCCATACCCCTCAAGAAGCATAGCATGGCGCCGTCGACACCAGGTGGGTGCAGCACTCAGTGGAGCGAGAACGCAGCGGCCTAGGGGCCACGAATGTGCGCAGCAGCTCGGGCTGAAGGTCCGCGAAGGGCAGCGCAGGTCAGGCCCTGGAGGGACCGAGGCTAAGCGCTAACTGCCAGCAGGCGAGGGCGCGGCACAGAATGGCCCGGGTGGGTGGGGCGCCGAGCGTCCAGGTTTCTCAACAGAGAAACCAGTGAAGTCACAAAGCAGCGGATCGCGCAGAACGCAGATGGATGCCACGTCAGGTGAGGCCGGTCATGTCCAGTTTGGTCTGGTTTTTTTTTGGTTTTTTTTTTTCATTTAAATTTTGTTCTAAATTTTTCTTCCATTCTAGCCAGGATTTTCTCTGATCCATATCAGAGTGGTCAGTAGTGGTGACTGGTCTCCATCTACTTCTCCTGTCTCAGGGTGGAGGATATGATCCCATGGTCTATTAGTCCTTTGAACTAATTATTTCCTTAAGTCTTTGTTTTTCTTCACTCTTCTTTCCTCCCATTGGTTCTCAATCTACCTAATACATACAGTTCCTTATGTTGTGGTGACACCCCCCCAACCATAAAATTATTTTGTTGCTACTTCATAACTGTAATTTTGCTACTGTTATGAATCAGGTAACTCCTGTGAAAGGGTCGTTTGACTCCCAAAAGGGTCAAGACCCACAGGTTGAGAACCGCTGGTCCAGACAGAGATCAATAACGGCACCTTAGAAGACTGATCATGACCTTTTAAGAGACTGTAGACTATGGTCTTTGTGGACTATTTACCTAGATATATATCAAAGCAAACAACAAGAAATTAAGCTAACAAAATAAAGCAGAGAAAACCCTCAATATGCAAATAAAGTGTTAGATTTTAATATAACTACAGCTGCCATAATCCACTTGCCAATGCGCTCGGTATGATAAGGCTACTCACATCCCTATGGCTATGCTCTGAGGAACATCACCAGAGGCTTAATCTGCATGTGGATCCTGAAAAAAGATTTCAGCCTTCCATGGTCATCCGCACACAGCCTTCTGCAAACCAGGTGTTCACAATTTAACCTCTGATACACTTCCCTCCAGAATTGGGTTATAGTATTTATTTACAATCTTTGGATTACACTGGCTACTGGGCTTCTTCCATGTGGACTTAGTTGATGTTTAACTAAGATGGCTGATTGTTTAAAGACAAGCCTCTAAGACCTCAGATGTTATTCTTTCTGAAAGCAAGGCACTATCTAGTTTTGGGTTTCGGGGGGTTTTTTTGACACATTTTGCTGTAGTACACATATCTTCAGCTATCTCTTCATGAGGGTTGTATCAAGCAGGCCCACGACCTAAGAACTAATTGTTCTTAGATTAGGGCTAGAATCAAGTGTGAGCCACAAATCCATTCCTATATCTATGGTTCATATGGTCTCTGGTTCACCTTGAAGACATCATTGTCATTTTATGTTAGAAAATATTATCTATTTCTTCCCTGGGGCATAAGGTCATAGTGTCAATAACTTGGCAAATGGTAAAGTATTTAAAACACCATTGAGAAAATGAGGTTATACACGCATAGGCTGGTTACAAAATGCAATACATAAACTACTGACTTGTACAGAAAAATATTCACACACAAAATGGGGATTTGAAGTAAGGCAAAACTTTCAATAATATTCATTGAAAATCTGACTGTATTTTTAAAATTATAAAATCAGAAATTTTACTTATTGGTTGCCCTATGTACGTAACATTTTTCCCCTGAACCTTCTCAGGAATCTTTTCTTTGACTTTGGTTTTGAACATTTTGATTATGACATGA